TATTTATTTCAAAACCCCCTTCCCCTCTCCCTTTTCTGATGAAGGGTGTAGGCCCGAAACGTCAGCCTCTCTGCTCCTATGATGCTGCCTGGCCTGCTGTGTTCATCCAGCCCTGCACCTTGTTGTCTCGGATTCTCCAGCATCTGCAGTTCCTACTATCTCTGGTTCACTAATGTCCTTTTTTTAAGGACGGAAACTGTCATCCTTACCTGGTCTGGCCTACATGTGATTCCAGACCCACAGCAATGGGGTTAACTCTGAACTGCCCTCTGGGCAATTAGGATGGGCAATAAATGCTGCCTAGCCAGCGATGCCCTCATCCTGTGAATGAAGGAAAAAAAAAAAACAACTTGTAACTTATTGGCCTTGGAGGGAGTTCAATGTATCCGTCCTAAAGTGTACTGCCCAGGTCTGCCCACTTTACTTCAAATGGGGGCTATCTGGTGTTGTTGTATAAACAAAGAAAATTACAGTCCAGGAACAGGCCCTTTGGCCCTCCAAGCCTGCACTGACGTGCTGCCTGTCACAATTAAAACCCCCTACCCTTCCGCGGACCGGATCCCTCTAGTCCCATCCTATTCAAGTATTTGTTAAGACGCCCTTTAAAAGTCACCAATAGTATCTGCTTCCACTACCTCCCCCAGCAGTGAGTTCCAGGAACCCACCACCCTCTGCTTCTTAAAACTTGCCCCATACATCACCTTTTAAACCTTGCCCCTCGCAGCTTAAACCTATGCCCCCTAGTAATGGACTCTTCCACCCTGGGGGGAGAAAAGCTTCTGACTGTCCACTCTGTCCATGCCCTTCATAATCTTGTAGACCTCTATCAGGTCGCCCCTCAACCTCTGTCGTTCCAGTGAGAACAAACCAAGTTTCTCCAACCTCTCCTCATAGCTAATGCCCTCCATACCAGGCAACATCCTGGTAAATCTTTTCTGTACTCTCCAAAGCCACCACATCCTTCTAGTAGTGTGGCAACCAGAATTGACTACAGTATTCCAGTGTGGCCTAACTAAGGTTCAATAAAGCTGCAACATTATTTGCCAATTTTTAAACTCGGTGCCCCGGCTGATGAAGGTAAGCATGCCAAGTGCCTTGTTGACTATCTTCTCCACCTGCATTACTACTTTCAGGTACCTGTACACCCAGATCCCTCTGCCTGTCAGTACACTTAAGGCTTCTACCACTTCCTGTATATCTTCCATCTGGATTAGACCTTCTGAAATGCATAACCTCATTTTTTTTTTTCTGGATTAAATTCCATCTGCCATCACTCTGCCCAAGTCATCAACCGATCTATATCCTTTGACGGTCCTCATCACTATCCGCAACTGCACCAACCTTTGTGTCATCAGCAAACTTACTAATTAGACTAGTTACATTTTCCTCCCAATCCTTATGTATGTCACAAACAGCAAAGGTCCCAACACTGACCCCTGAGGAACACCATTAGTCACAATCCTCCATTCAGAAACTCACCCTTCCACTGCTCTCCTCTGTCTTCTATGAGCAAGCGTTTTTGTTTCCATCTTGCAAGCTCACCTCTGACCCTGTATGACTTTACCTTCTGTATCAGTCTGCCATGAGGGACCTTGTCAAAGTCCATGTAGAGAGCATCCACTGCCCTACCCTCATTGATCATCTTGGATACTTCCTCTGCAGAAGTTTACTTCCTGCATTCCAAAGATATGCAGGTTAGGGTGGATTGGCTATGCTAAATTGCCCATAGTGTCCAGGGATGTGTAGGTTAGGTAGATTGGCCATGGGAAATGCAGGGTTACAGGGATGGGGTGGTCTGGGTGGGATGCTTTTTTTAGAAGGGTCTGTGTAAGCCTAATGGGCCGACTGACCTTTGTGCAGTGTAGGGATTCTATGGACTTGCTGAACAATTGTATTGAACCTGCTCACTTTATTTCAGATCATTGTATGTATTTGATTCTCCAATCAGTGTTATTGTAATTATAACTGTGTAACTAAAACTTTAACGATTGCAGATTGGGCCTTATACATGTCAATGCTGGCCTCTGAGCAGTTCAGCCTTGGGCATCACTAACTGGCCCAGCCATTATTGTCCAATCCCTAATTGCTTGGAGGACAGCCACATTGCTTTGGGTCTGGAGTCATGACTAGACTAGACTAGAATAGACCAGACCAGGTAAGGATGGCAGATTTCCTACCTTTTAAAGGGCATTAGTGAACCAGATGGATGTGGTTTTTTCCTTTTTGTTGTCATTATAAGATTTTTAGTGCATTCAAAGTTCACCATGTTCCATGATGATAGGATTGAAATTTTTCATCCCTGGAGATCAGAGTGGAGTTCTGAATTAATCGTTCCAGTGATTAGTACCATTATCCTGCCCACCTCCCCTGCCTTCGCCCACTGGTCCTATCTGAGGTTTCAGATTTGATCGTGGGAGTGACTGTTTGTTTGTTTGTTTCTCATTCACTGGGAGACTGATCTGCAATTAATCCCCTTCTCTTCCCTTTCCCCCACCCTTAAAAACACAAATTGCTGGAAAAGTTCAGCAAGGCTGGCAGCGTCAGGAGAGAAATCGGTTAACGGATTTCTCTCCACAGATGCTGTGAGTCCAACTCGGCTTTTCGAGGTGTGTGTGTGTGTGTGTTTTCTCTCTTGCAGATCAGCAAGTTTGGCCAAAGCCTGTGCCTCAGTGGATTCATGGGCATGGACATCCCTCCTCCTGCTGGACCACTCTGGATTTTGGGTGATATTTTCATTGGCCGCTATTACACCGTCTTCGACCGTACCAGTAACCGAGTGGGCTTTGCTGAAGCCGTGTAGCATGTACCCTGAAGCAGAAGGGACACTTCCCCCTTTTTTTTTTTGTTTCTGTTTTTGTTTTTTTTTTCCAAATTTGCGTGGGCCTGATTTTAGAAAACTCTCTAAAGGAAAATGATGTAGCTGACTCCTTACTGACACCTCTCCTGATTAACCATGATCTGGCTACCGTTCTGTAACCCTTGCCTTGCTGAATGAAGACCACCTTGGCATGTTTGTGTGGTTGTCCTCTCGGTAAAACTGAGATTTAAGCTGGTTTGCCAGTAACATGATTTTCCTGCCCAAAACTACTTTAATGAAAACTCATGGGGGTTTTAGCACCCCTTGCATTCTGATTTCCAACCCCTGGCCCCGCTATGAAAGTGCAGACTCCAAGTGATCTGTAGCACTTTCCTTCAGAGTCCTGAGGAGCTACAGAAGTCTTTGAAGACCCACCCTGAAGAAAACAGGGCATCACTTTTTACTGCTGATCTTGCACCGATTCCACCTGATTATTTGCCCTTCCATTTGATCAAAGATGCCTATTGGTCACCTCTGGTGAGTTTTACCATGAGATGTCACCATGGTCACTTAGTTTTCGACTGTTCAACATGCCTGGTTTCCTGGCTCCTCACTGGTTTGTGGTGGAGTGGAGAGTAGTCACTTTATTCCCACACGTTCTTTGTTGTGACAGGGTGAAAATGTGTTCGTTTTGAGTCAGAATTAAGTCCCACGGTATTGAGTGGGTGCTTTGAATATCAGGTTTCTGTCAATTTGAAGCAACAGCAAATTTTTTTCCAAAAAAAAATTCCAGATGAAAGTAAATGCCATTTAAGGGATTAAATGAGTAGTTGGGTTAAGTCATCCCAGCCACACTGCTAGGCCCCTGCCGCATGTGAGATAGTGGACTTTCCCATCCATTCAATCTTGTAATACATCTTTGGAAGACTTCAATCAGTCACTTGATGGTACGGACCTTGAGAAAAGAGGCATGTGGCTGCATCAGGACAAATGCCAAACTTCAAACGATTCCAATTTCTTCTACAGATTTAGCATTGGTGCAGTTTATGCATTGCCTTCTCTCATTGCAGATGTGTTGCTTTTCCCTGCAGTGTATGTAGTTTAAAGTTCTAGTGTTCTGACTGTTTTAAAATTTGGCATTCTTACATTTGTCTTGATCAGTGCGAGATGAAAAGCTTTGGCAATATGCCTGTGTTTTTGGTAATAGTTTAGAATCTTGGTCCTTCCATTGAGTGGCTCAGGCCATGACCATTTTCCTTGTCTCTTCCTCCCTCATCACTTAGTGGCTTGTTACAAGTGGGCCATCTGCAGGGTCTTGGGTCCCTGATCTGTGTGACTCCTCGTTTGTGCTCCCGTTGTTATTAACATCAGGGGATGAGTGAAGACTAGACATTACTTCACCCAGTGTAAGAAAATTGGCTTGTGAATTTTGCTTCCGGTTAACCTGAGGGGGCTTGGTGTTGACTGGGGAGGGAGGGGAGTTGGTTACTAGTGGGGAGAGGGTAGTTTGGCAGTGACTGGCAGGGAATTGGGGGTTGGCTGGATGGTTTGGTGGGGGTAGATGGTGAGTGGAGAGAGGGGAAGGGGTTTTTTGTAGTGACTGGTGGGATGTGGGGGTAGTAGATAATGGGCATTGGGGGTGGTTTCGTGACTGAAGCAGCAACTCTAGATCCCTCACATTTTGCGAGTTGTCACTGGCTCTACAGGGTTTATCCTAATCCCTGTTCTCAGCCAGCAAGCTGCACACTCTTTGCAAATGCAAACAGATGATTCTAGTTGAATTAATTTGGGGGTGGGGGAGAAAAAGTATAGCATTTTACCCAAACATCTGACCACATCTGCATCCTTGTTGGTCACAGCTGAAGTCTCCCTCTGGTTACTGGCGGTTTCTCAACTTGTTTAGGGCTGTTGTAGTTTCTAACAAACAGCTGGCTCTGGATGATGAAGTAATGAGCTGTTTCATGGTGGGAGTCCTGAGGAAGATTTTTAAGCAGAAATGAAGTTTTTTTTTTATGGGGGTGTGGGGAAATTGTGAACAGAAATGTAGCAATACTTGATTTGTGCCACTAGAGGTCAGTTGTAGAGCAACTCCATTGATACCCATTCTCAACTCTTCCATTTCTGGAATTGAAATGTGGCCCTACAATATACAGTGCAGAAATGGGCCATTCAGCCCATCTGGTCCTTGATAGCACTTTTTATGACTTTTGTGTGGACCTCTGGTTTCATTCCACCAGCTCCTTCTTGCTCATGTAATTTCCCCTTCAGTTTATCCATAAATTATTTCAAATATTCCTTGTGCTAGTGAGTTCCACATTGAGTTGGAGGGTTTTTCCTGAATTCCCAAGATGGATTTGTTTATGAATCTTTTATTTATCATCTCTAGTTTTGAATTTGCCAGTAAGGGGGAGAATCCTTGTTAACTTTGATCGAGTCCCCTCATAATCTTGAAGACCTCTCTATTAGGCTCCTGTCTAATGCAACAGCTAGGAGGAAAAGAGAGGCTGTTTAGTATAAAGTTCGGATTTAAATTTAATGTTATATTGTTGGCCTGTATTTACAAATAAACAAAACAATTAATGCTTGGCCGGTGGAATTTTTTTGAGCACTTACACTGTATACAGAAACAAGTCTCCAAGTGTGAAAATGGAAGGCATGTGAAGGCTAGGTGGTCTAGGCTTGTGCTCATCCCAAAAGCTCGCTCCTGCCTGCGCATATGCTGCGAGGCTGTTACAGTGCATGTTGACTGTCCTTTTTTGACCCTTTTTGCGATTGCAGTGGAGGTTCTATTGTATCCTGGGCACCCTCTGAATGTGGGGTGGGCCTACACTTTTTTTTTTCTATCACTTTGTACAAGTGAGCTCCACGTGGTCATTGCAGGCATAGAGTAGGTGGGGAATAATGTTTGAGATTGGAGATGGTCTTTATTGATTTCAGGGGATGTGAACTTCATCGGCTGTGTCAGCATTTATTGCCCATCTCCCAACTTGAAGGCGGTGATGAGCTGCTGCCTTGAACTGCTGTCGTGGGTAGATACCGCCGCTACTGCCCCCTTCCTCTCTCCCCCCCCAGGGGGGAAAAAAAAAAACAACCCAAGGCTGTTGAGAGAAGGAATTCCAGGATTTTGACCCAGTGGCAATCTAGGAACAGTGATTATACTCCCCAGTCAGGATGGTGAGTGGCTTGGAGGGGCGCTTGGACCTGTGAATAGGCAAAGCTCTAAACGCATTGGATGATGTAGCTAATGTCATAGGAAAGGCTTCAATAAGAACTTGCTTAGACTGTACCAAGAGCGCTGTCTGCAATTTTCAGTTCATTTCTCAAGGGTACTGCTGTAGGGGGAGTGCAATGCAAGTTCATCTGGGCTTGGCACTGGAAAGCTGGGACTATTAAAGAGATTTTTGGGGAAAATTGGGCCTGTATTTGTTAGAGATTGGAAGAGGGGCAGGTGATCTCACTCTTCCAAACTTTACAAAATCCTTAAAGGGAGAGATGGAGTAGATGCAGGCAAGATATTTTCCCCTGCCTCCATGCCAAACTTTATTTGATAAGTGCTCATGTTTGTGTGTCATGTTAAGGGTGCTATATCAATGGAAGTTGCTATTGTTAGAAGGCACTTGAGCAGAGACACGCTGAAACCTGGCAAATGGATGTCTATGAACTGGTGGGGCAGGAGTGAAGCTGCTATTTAAGGAGCGACTCTATAATAAAGTTGTTGTTCCCAGTGCAATAATGTTGCAAACCATGTGGCTTATCCAGCGATTGCTGCTAAATATAAATGGCTGTGGACTTTGTGGAAAACAGTTATGCAAGAGGATGAATTGGAGGAGTTTGGAGTTCCCAAAGGCTTGTGGGGATGGAAGAAGCACATGGATAGGGAGGGGGGTGGTCTTCGGAGGATTTGAGCACAGGTAGGAGTGCTGTAATTGAGGTGGATCTTGTCTGCTTCTAGGAATTCCCTATGTCCTCAGACTCATACAAATCTCTGCTGTCTGCACTGTATGACTTGTGCCAATTCTGGTTAACCTATCGTCCTCACTTCCCTAACCTGTATCGACACAGACATGAGTATCATCTCAACTTTGAAAATTTTCATCCTTCTGTTGGATTCTCTCCACAGCCTTGCAACCCTCTGCCCCAAATTGTGCACAGTAAGGTAGGTCCCACAAACAGCCAAGTGATAATGACCAGACAAATCATCTTTCATGATATTGGCTAAGCTGCTGTAGGTAACTCCTTGTTCGTTTGGGACACTATCTTTTGCACCCACCTGAGGAAGCAGGCAAGGCCTCTGGTTTAATGTCTCATCCTTGAGCTGACACCTTCAATGGTACAGATTTTTCTCAATGCTACATTGGGAGAGTTATCATAGATAGTGTCCTTGAATAGGGTGGGAGTTGAGGTGGAAGTTCAGCCCACTGAGTCCATACAACATAGGTGCAAAAGTAGGCCATTCAGCCCATCAAGTCTGTTCCATCAGTCAATGAAATTGTGGCTAATCTGATAATCCTCAATTTCACTTTCCGGTTTTGCCCTTCTAACCCTTGATTTCCCCCTTACTGATTAAAAATCTGTCTATCTCTGCCTCAAATATACTTAACAACCTAGTCTCACAGCCCTGTGTGGTAAAGGATTCCACATCTTGAGAAGAAATTCTTCTTCATCTCTGTTTTCAATGGGCGATCCCTTATTTTGAGATTACTTCCTGTAGTCCTAAACAAGGGGAAACAACCTTTCAGTATCATCTGGTCTAGGCCCCTGAGAGTCTCATATGCTTCAGTAAGATTTAGACAGTCACAGAGTTGTACGGCATGGAAACAGACTCTTTGGTTCCTGCCAACCAGATATCCTAAATTAATCTAATCACATTTGGCCCATTTTACTGCAAATCCTTCCTATTCATGTAACCATCTCATGCCTTTTAAATGTTGTAATTGTACCAGCCTCCATCACTTCTTCTGGCAGCTTATTCCATACACACACCACCCACTGCATGTAAAGGTTGCCCCTTAGGTCCCTTTTAAATCTTTCCCCTCTCACTTTAAAGCCATGCCCTCTAGTTTTGGACTCCCCTACCCTGGGGAAAAGACATTGGCTATTCACCCTATTCATAATTTTATAAACCTCTACAAGGTCACCCCTCGGCCTCCGACATTCCAGGGAAAACAGCCCCGGCCTCATCGGCCTCTCCCCGTAGCTCAAACCCGGCAACGTCCTTGTGAATCTCTTCTGAATCCTTTCAAGTTTAACAACATCTTCCCTAAACCAGGGAGCCCAGAATTGAACACAGTATTCCAAAAGTGGCCTAGCCAATGTCCTGTACAGCTGCAACGTGTCATCCCAACTCCTATACTCAATGCACTGACCTATAAAAGCAAGCATACCAAGCACCTTCTTCATCGCCCTGTCTACCTGTGATTCTACCTTCCAGGAACTATGAATCTGCACCACAAGGTCTCTTTGTTCAGCAGCCCTCCCCAGGACCCTACATTTAAGTGCATAAGTCCTGCCCTGATTTGCCTTAGCAAAATGCAGCACCTCACACTTATCTAAATTAAGCTCTCTGCCACTCCTTGGCCTATCTAATCAAGGTCCCATTGTACTCTGAGATAGCCTTCTTCACTATCCACTGCACCTGCAATAGTGGTGTCATCTGCAAACTTACTAACCATGCGTCCCATTTTCACATCCAAATCGTTTATATAAATGACAAAAAACAGTGGACCCAGCAGCGATCCTTGTGGCACACTGCTGGTCATAGGCCTCCAGGCTGAAAAACAGTTCCCCCATCACCACCCTCTGTCTCCTACTTTCAAGCTAATTTGGTATCCATAGGGCTACCTCTCCCTGGATTCGATATGACCTAACCTTGCTATGTGTCTACCATGCGGAATCTTGTCGAACATCTTGCTGAAGTCCATATAGACCATACCCTAAACAACCTCCTTTGTCACTTCTTCAAAATACTCAGTAAAGTTAATGAGCCATGATTTCCATCTCATTCTTCTAGATTCTAATGAATACAGGCCCAACCTGCTCAACTTTTCCTCATAGAAAATCCCCTCCTTATCCAGGATCGAACAAGTGAACCTTCTCTGTACTGCCTTCAATGCCTGTCTAACCTTCCTTAGACATGAGGACCAAAACTGTTCACGGTATTCCAAGTGTGGTCTGACTAGTGCCTTGTATAGTTTCAGCAAGACCTACCTATTTTTGTACTCCATCTCCTTTGCATTAAACAGTGGGAGTGACAGTTGATGTAATAACGAACACTGGACATGGACTCTCCAACTACAAGAAATGATGGCGGACCAGCTGTTGTGACCGAGTCTCGTCATTTCATGGTCTGAGGTACGGCCATCGTGGAGAGAATAAAGTAAATGTCAACTGACTGGACTGAGAAAGGCTAACTGGGCAACACCAGAAATATAGCCCTGAGATTGAACTGAATGGTGCTGGCAACGTTATATTTATGACAGACAGAAAGAAAGAGAGAGACACATTAGATAGACAATTGATTTATTGGGAAGTCATCATGCTAGACAATGCCAAATTGTGATGATCATACAACTAAACAAGTAATTGTAATTCATTACATGGTTACGAACAATCATTAAGAAATAAAAATGCAGTTGAAAATAATTGCACAATTATATTCATTAGAGTGCTCAACTCATTACAAAACATTGGAAAATGCAAATCTTCTTAATTTACGTAATAGAAATAAAAAGTTTCCTGCATTTTATATTGAATTCCATAATTCATATATTGCCAGGTTGAATTCATTTAATTTTATGCATATATAGATGAACATATAACATTCCACAATCTCGGAATGACTCGAAGCCAATGAAATGTTTTTGAACTTCAGGCACTGTCATGTAGGAAATGCAGCAGCCAATTTGTGCGCAGCCAGCTCCCACAAACAGCAACCTCATCTGGGTAGGATCTTCTGTTGATTCAGAGATAATTATGCAACCAAGGAAAGCAGGGAGAACTCCTGCCATATCCTCTGCTAAGATAGCAGCTAGGGGAGCTATTACTTCCACTTGAGGAGTTTGACAGCCTCGCGTGTGAGACACAGCAAGTAAAAGCACGGCGACTGTTTCAGGTTTGCACAGGCAGTGCCAGCAGAGAACAATGTCCCTGCCTCTGTATCGGGGCTCGAACGGACAACCTGCTGACTCAGGTAGAAGTGCGAAGCACTGAGCGACAGCTGACACCTGTTTGAGTTTGTGACAGGTTGGAGCAAAGCAGCTGATATTTCACCCTGCGGAGCTTGTCAATTCTGAGCAGGAGGTCAAGTCAATAGCTGACAAGCTCGAAGGAAGATTTTGCCATGTTGGAGAGCGGGTTTCTCAACTTGCACTGCTCCTGACACCTCTTGCTAGCCGATCCTGCCAGACACAATGATTCCTTGTCATCAGGGCTGGCTGTAGTTTGAAACAGTGCTGCCCTTGAGGTCAGTTGCACCATTAGGGTTAGCCAGACATCCTTCACGTGTGCATTCAAAAATGTGATGTTGACTGTAGGTCTATTACTTTGGGACTGCACACACAAACAAACATGCTATTCTTACCACTGA